GGGTCTTTGCTCCTTGCGTGGAGGGGGGGGGATCCCCGGGCCGCAGGCGAGGTATCGATCCGGAGGGGGCGGGGGTAATGGGCGCAGCAATCTTTATGGGTCTGCTCCTGGGACGCTGGGGGACGGTTCTTCACAAAGAGAGCACGGGCTGCGGGGATGGTGAGATATAGATATCCTGGGTCTGTAGCAGTATTCGATTCCCTGTGCTGTGGCAGTTTTGTGTGTGTTTTTTTGGGGTAGCGATAGTAAGTAGGTTTTGTGTTTCAATATTTAGCTTCCTTTTTTTGTGTGGAAGTGCATGCTCCGCGGTGTATCCGACCCAAGCATGCGCCTTTGTCAACCACGTCTTGGCATCACCTCCGGGCTCGAAATTTGCGCTCGTGTGTGTTGGTATGTTGGTTCACCCCGTTCGTGTTGTACAGTCAAAACGAACAAACCGGTCTCTTGTCTGCCTTTTTTCTCCGAAACTGGTGCTGTTCAAAGTTCTTCCGTGCAAGGGTTTCTGTCCGTCGGAGGCGGCAGCCAGCCGTACGGAGCCCGGCGGGGGCACGGGGGGGCTCCGCCAGCCCGGAAGATCAAGTTGCTTATGCTGGGCGACTCCGGGGTGGGCAAGAGCAGCCTCATGGACCGCTTCATGGAGGACTACTTCAGTATCACCAAGGTAAGAGAAATTTCCATTTCCACAACACTCGGTGATGCGGCTTCAGGCCTGTAAGCAGCAAGTAGCGTTGTTGTTGTTGTTGTTGTTGTCCTATCTACCTCATTTGCTTATGTTCCAGACGGTGCGACTTGATTTAACACAACTTGAACCTGTATCTTCCTTTAACACAACTTGAACCTTATCTTCCTTTTAACACAACTTGAACGTGTATCTTCTTGCAGGTGCAAACACTGGGGGTGGACTTCAAGCTGAAGACGATCGTCCTCAACGACGAGGAGGTGGACTTGCAAGTGTGGGACACCGCCGGCCAGGTGGGATAACATAAAATAAATCGTTTCATTTGTTTCCCTTCCACTAACTGAAAATACTTCACCTGCCTTTCGACTGTGGTCATATCTCGAGCGGGTAGCCTTTCTCTATTTTTCATGTGGTACCCGGTATTTTCTTGAAACCGACCGCCGATTTTTTGCTCACTGATACACTGATATCTCTAGATTTTACACACGTGGATCCCCCTTGGGAGGGACAGGCGTTTCCGTCGGATCCAACGCGTACCCCTAGCCGTGGCTGTCCAAAAAGCCCCGAAAGCGCCTGAACCACTTACGGGGGGCAACCCTTTCGTTATTTGGGAGCTTGGGGGAGGAGATCGGAATGGTGGCAGACGCATGTACTTATGTAGCGAGGTAGTCCGAGGAGGAGGAGGAAGGAAGGTCATTTGTTCGATGGGCACAGCTCTCACCCATGAGAAGTACTGTTTCTGTCGAATTTTTTCGTAATTGACGATTAAGACGACCAAACATTTCAACTTTCTGCATTCTGTCGATTTTTTTGCGTATTGACGACAAGACGACCCAATATTTCAACTTTCCGCATGCGTGTTCCGCCGCACGCCCCCCCCCTTGTTTTCTGTCGTGCCTTGGCCTACTATTTCTGGCCTCGCCTCCCACTTGTTCAGCAAAAGTTCCACAAGATCACGCAGGCGTACTACCGCGGCTCTCACGGCATCGTGCTGGTGTACGACATGTCCGACCCCAAGACTCTCGACAACACGGCGTACTGGATGAGGAGCATCCGAGACACCGCCGGCAGCAACAGAGTGCAGATTTGCCTCGTTGGGAACAAGGTGCGGCACCCCCGAGAAAGGAGCATTGTGTGTGAATATCCAGGACAGGGTGTCGTTGCCTGCACAACGTTAGCCTTAACGAGGAGAAGAATTTTGACTGGAATTGTTTCCCGGGGCAGCAGCAACAGCGACGGAACGCAACAGCTCGTTGGACGCGCGAAGAACATGCGGTAAATCACAGCCCTCAATCCCTCCCCTCCCTTTTGTGTTTGAAGGTGGACTTGCGGGAAGAGGTTGGGCTGGAGGGGCAGCAGCAGGACCTCGCCGGCATGGTGGAGACGAGCACCGGTCGGAAGGTAGCGGAGGAGTTCGGAGCGGAGTACTTCGAGTGCAGCGCCAAGACGGGGTGCATGGTGGAAGAGGCGTTTATCGCCACGGCTACCAAGGTACAGCTACCTACAGCTGTAGCACTAGTAGTGCGAAGAAAAAGCCGTCAGGCACGTTGTTTTTTTTTTCGTTTCGGATCTGAACCTCTTGAGAAGAGAATACGCATGGTCATGGTAGTATTAGTGTGAAGAAAGCTTCGTAAGGCATTAATATTTCTGTTTGCATTTCCGAATCGAACGTCTGAAGAGAATGCGTATGTTGATAGCGGTAGTAGTAAAGTGTGAAGACAGCGTAGTCATGCACTGTTTGTTTTCTCATTTCGGAGTCGAACGTCTTCAGAGAAGACTAAACCCGTTCGAGATTATGCCCCGTTCGAAGGGGTGTGTTGGGAGTCTTTTGGCAGTGAGGGATAGGAGAGATGAAGTCTTTACTTTACAGCAGTGAGGGTTGAGAGGGTAACCGGCTGGATAATATTCTACAACTGGACGAACTTCTGATCTGCACCCCTCCTCCTTGCTTAAAGGAGAAATCGATTTTCAATCTTTTTGTCAAGAGATCATGTTGACCCTCCCTCGGAGTTTCGTGGTTGCTTGCTCAGTACTACCTCTCCGAGATGGTTTTTGTTGTTTGTTTCGTCAGGCGTATGAAGCGCACTTGATGAAGCTTTCGTGGGGTTTTGTGATTGCTTGCTCACTCCCCCTCCGACATGGTTGTGGGGTTTTGTTGTCGTTGTTGTTTCGTCATACATGTGTCAGGCGTATGAAGCGCACCTGGTGAAGCTTTTGTGAAGTTTTGTGGTTGCTTGCTTGCTCACTCCCTCTTCGACATGTTTTCTTTGTTTTGTCGTTGTCGTTTTCGTTGTTGTTGTCTCGTCAGGCGTATGAAGCGCACCTGGTGAAGCTTTTGTGAAGTTTTGTGGTTGCTTACTTGCTCACTCCCTCCTCGACATGTTTTTTTTGTTTTGTTTTGTTTTGTCGTTTTCGTTGTTGTTTCGTCATACATGTGTCAGGCGTATGAAGCGCACTTGGTGAAGCCGTCGACGCCGTCCACCAGGATCCGGAGACGCCTGGGCCGAAAGAAGCACCGCCGAACGGCCTCGCAGGGGTCGGACAGAGACCGCCCCCCCCGCAGCGACGCCTCCGGCCCCGCCGCCGCCACCGCCGCCGCCGCCACCTTCTCGCCGTCCTTTGCCTCTGTACCCGGGGTGGTGGAGAGCGGCGCCGAGAGGCCGCCGCCGCCCGACAGCCCCGCTGCTCGGATGCGGGCCTGCGCTTCTGAAGTCAGCGAGACCGGGTAGGTGTTGCCTCCTGTTGTAGAGTGCTCCGAGGGGACCGCCTTCGGGAGGATATTGTTTTATTTTTGTTATTGTTATGAAATAGAGAGGGGGGGGGGGTTCGTAGCCCTAACCCTAACCCTATCCCTATCCGCGTACCCCCTACGAGCACCGGGGTTAGTATTATAGTATCGTCGCGAAGGCTGCTGATCCGAGTAGGGGTGTTTTGGTCTTTCCCTTCTGTGGTGGATTTAGCCTATTCTTCTGTTCTTGAGTCTTTGTGGTGCATGCAGCTTCTGTATTAGCGGCTAAATCTTTTGTTGAACATTTTTTTTTTGTCTTGTCTGTACATGCATACTTTCCGCGAAAAGCGGTGCTATGATACGCATAACCGCCTTCGCTGCGTGCGGCTGTTTCGCGCGAGCCTACCCCTCAAAAGACACCCGGTGTTCTCGTTCCAAGACAAGGCTCTGACGTGAGGTTAACAAACGGCCGCCGCCCTCACCCATTCCGAACGCGAACAATTAATTTTAGTTGTATGTCGTCATTTCTTGTTTTTCCGCACGGTGGGCGCAGAGTGGGCCAAGCGTCGGTGATGGCTCCCATTCTCAATTCTCATCTCGCCGGCGCTTTTTTTTTTTCTGTCTATCGTCTTGTTATTTATTTTTCAGCACCGCTGTGGGCGCAGCGGGCCAAGCGTCGGTGATGGCTTCATCCTCGTCTCACTCGCACAATGTCTCCGCTGGAGGGACGGGGCAGCAGCAGCAGCAGCAGCAGCAGCGATTCATGTCCTCTTCCTCCTACGGGGGGGTGGCCACCACCCCGTACTCCGCTCCGTGCTCTCCCCCGTCCCCGGCTCCTTGCGGCCGACCACGGGCGTCCGCGGCGGTGACTACCCCTCCTCAAGGCGGCGGCGGCGGCGGGAGTCAAAGCCCTCGCCAGGAGCAGCCGGAGCCACCGCAGCAGCCGATGATGCCCTCGGCTGACGTGAAGGATGAGCAGCAGCAGCAACAGCAGCAGCAGCAGCACGAGATTGGGGAGCTAGTTCCCCCGCTTTCTGCGCTCTCGCCCAAGACGGCGGCCGCCGCGTTGGGCATGGCGGGGGGCAAGGGGGCCCCGTCGGGTGCGGCTGGCGGTGAGTCATCTCTCTTGTGTCGTTTTTTCTTGTAACTATGCTTTTGTTTTGCGTTTGGTTGTCGTTGGCTGTTGCCGCAGACCAACTTTGACCACCTTTCTGTCTCTCTGTCTTTGACTGCTCCAAGTGGCGGCACTTGCTCACTTCATTCGTTCACCCGGCACGAGGGGGGGAAACATCGAAATACGGTGTTTGTTGGTTGTGTGGGTTTGTTTCGTGTTCCGCTGGTGGTTTTGGTCGGTGGTAGCGCAGTCCATGCCGATATTTAAACCCCACGTCGGTCTTGGCTAACGGCAATGTGAAAGAGGCAAGAAGAAGTTCATCCTCGCCAGACAGACGTTTAGGGAGATTGTATGCATACCCTTTCATGAAGAAGGGGAAGTAATAACCCTGCAATTATATGCATCGCCCCCCCCTCCCCCCCACCTCCACCTCCACCTCCACCTCCACCTCCACCTAGCAGAAGACAGCCCTACCGGTACGGGGACGATGTCGCCTCTCCCCGGACACCAGCGGTCCATCGGCAGGTCGTCCTCACTTGGCGACATGGAGAGCTATTTCGGCACGTCCTTGGGGTCCCCCAATGGCAGCGACATCGACAGCAGCGCGGACGGTGGCGGCGGCGGATCGAGCGGAGTTCCCAGGCGCCGCGCGGACACCGGCGGCTTGTTCGGCCTTTTCAGCGGCGGCGGCGGCGGCGGCGGTAAGGATGTTCGCGAGCGGGGAGGAGGCTTTAGCTGCTGCTCTCCCAAGCAGGACGCGGGGGCGGGGGCCTGTGAACATCCTTACCGCCGTCGCGTGGACGGGTCTGGCTCCCTAGCGGTCGCCGAGATCATAGCGAGGCAGCGGCAGAGGTCGCCCCGCCCTACCGCCGGCCCCGGGCCTTGGGGGGACGACCCTCCGCCACCGGCGGTCTCGCGAATGAAGGGGAAGAAGCCTCCCCGGGTGCCGAGGATGAAGCGCATGTCGAGCTCGGATTTGGCGGACGGGGTCGGGGTCGGGGGAGCAAGGGGCAAGGCGGGCAAAAACGTCTGCAAGGTCTCGTAGCTGGGAGAGAAGGGAGACCGCGCGAGGCAGCGGTGCAAGGCGAAGGTGCTCCGCCGCAAGAGATGCAGGAGATGCAGCAGAGCCGTTCCGGGTGGGGTACGGGGGTTTGGATTTTTCCCGGGGGAGGGGGGGGGGGGGGGGTATCCCCGCTGTCCGAGAGACCTAACAAAAGTGTGTGTGTTTGTCAGGGAAAAAAAAAACTCTCTTTGGCGTACATACCCGGAGTGGTGTCTGGGGGGCTGATAAGCCACCATTCAGCATCCAGCGGATGAAGGCCTGCTCATCTCGCGCAGCGTATCGTACCCAGCTTCAGACGGACTCACGCCGCCGGCTTGGACGGATAGAGAGAGAGAGGTAAGGCTGTGGGTGGGGAACGAGTTATCATCGCTGAAGAGAACGGCCCCGGGGTGTACAAAGCCGATGCAGAGGTTCTTGGCGGATGATAGTGATATATTTGGAATACCGGAGTGCGATGTCTTTGTTTTGTGCGCGTGCTTTGATTGTCCGTGTTTTTGTTTTTGCCCTCTTGCCATGGCACGGGAGGGAGCGGGGGGAGGGGGAAGGGGGGGAGCACAGGAAATATTGGTTTTCTCGAGGCGTTGTGTACAGGCAAGAGGGTTAAGCCGAAGCCATGAATAATGGGAGGAACCAGCAGAGTAAACGGAAGCAACGATGATCTGTGCGTTTGTTTTTTTATTACGGTTACGAACGGCTTTACTAGAGGAGCGAGGGAGAGGGAGGTTGGACGAAGGAGGAGTTGGCGTTTTTTTTTTTTTTGTGCCCCCCCCTCCCTCACACTTGCTTCTGGGGGTGTTTTTTATCGTGGGCACGCTAACGCAGTGTCGGGAATCCTACGTAGACGGCGCTTTTAAACTATGCGTATGACCCTCGAAATTCAATCGATCGTCCGAGGCCTGGGGCGTACCAATACGGGGGGGTGCAAGTGGTTTACGCTGACCTCTTTTGGTTCGGCCGCTATAGACGAGATCGTCATAGACGGCCTTTTGGCTGCTGCTACTGCTGCTGGTGCTGCTTCTTCAGCGCCGCGTAGCTTTAGCTTTCGGGGGGAGGGGGGGGGGGGTCCTGCGTGCTTGCAGGAACTTTTAATAGAGTATAAATGGTCATGGACGACCTCTGGCTGATGCCGCTGTGGTGATATTGCTCCTGCGCATGATTTGTTGTTGCGGCGCGTAAATTTGCGCCTTAAGCATTTCCAAAAATTGGGCTCGCGGACGCAGCAGTTTTTCACCGCATTCGACCCGTGTTGATCTGACGTTGGCGCAGGCAAACGCAGCAGCGAGCACATCACACCATGATGAAGGTTTGTTGAGAAGCCCCCCGCGGCTGTGGGGGTGCCTTTTAGGGGTAGAGGGTTCGGCTTTCCCAAGCGGAAGGTAGGGTAGGTGGAGAAGACGTGTAGCTGTTCCAGCGACGCTTTGCTTGGCGTCGACGCTCACGTCGAGGGTAGAAGCAGTAACTTGCCCCAGCGCGGGTAGCAGCGTGTGCGCTGCGCGCGAGAGCTTGGTGGTAGTATTGAGCACAAGGATATATTACCCCGCCGTCTCGAATGTTCTTCTGATAATGGGATGAGGCGGTCATGGTGGTGGTGGAGGTATGGTTACGTGCGTACATTGTAGGCGAAGCGGGCCGCCGGATGGGGCTGGGTATCTGGGGGGGGAGGTTTCACGCTGTTAGGGGTTGAGGGTTGCGCTGCCTCCTTCCTGTCGTGGTTGTTTGTTGTGTTGATTGTTAACTGCATCTTTTTTCATGAGTCATTTTTGGTCGCTGCTGTTGTTGGGGGGGGACACGTGCACGATCGACCGACCGACTTGGTGTCGGGTCGACTTTGATGATGATTTGTTTTTTGTTTTTTTGTTGCGTGGCCTCACTCTGCGCGCTTTCGTCTTGTGAGAGTAGTTTATTGCGGACAAGTTTGCACGGGCCTGTGGTGTTGTATTGGTGTCTTTGTTTTTTCCCCTTTTCTGCATGCGGGTTTTACTAAATTTTCGTCTCGCCCGCGCGATTATTGTTACACGTTGGAGGACCATCAAGGGGCGCTTGGGACGATAAGAGATCGGTGGGGGAAGGGGCGGGGCGGGGGGGGGGGGGGGGGTCCTTTTAAAAAAAGAAAGGATTTGAACGAAGGGAAATAAGGGGTTGGGGGAAAATTTGTTGCTACATCTCCCGCGAGCGAGCGTTGTGAGTGCACCACCCGAATCCGTGGGGGGAATTG